ATAGCTACAGCTATTTTCCCATAATTTAAGAATCTGCTAGCATAAAATAGACCACTTGTACTCCCCCTCCTCCCCCTTTTTAAACAGGGCCTCCAATATTTTAGTTTAGTAAATAGAATGCAATTTTTTTAAAAATGAAAAGGGGAGAAAGGAGATAAAATACCACACAAGTGCACTTGCAATTCTTGAGAAATACAAGGAAGGATTAAACTGACTCAGGCCTGCTAACTACAGTATTTCTTTTTCAAATAGTTGCCTGAGGAAGATTAAAACCAGTTTTAGTAAACTTAGACCGAGATAAAATTTTAAACTGGGTGAGATCAGTAAGAATGATCAACCTTAGTCCTGATAATACATCAGTAATACACAAAGCTAATCCATGTCCACATAAAAAAATATTTTATGTTTATACTTACTTTATTTCTGGAGTAATAATTTCTGCTGCTAAACTGTCAGAAGATTCCTGACCTTCCAGTTGTAATAATCCTTTTTTAGGGAGTGGAGAAGAAAGAAAACATTAAACAGGATAGAATAGTAAATTAAGAATACTGTGGTCTCAGTGGAAAAAACAACAGTTTAACTCTCCTACTCAAACCCAACAAATACTTAAGCAAGCAATACAGAATGAAAAATACCAAGACATTATCCCCTCATAGAAAATATCTTTAAATATATACAATTTCAAGCCTGCAATGAAAATTTCCAATTTGCAAAACAGCGATTCGTCTTAATTCTTGATTAAAGCATCTCCAATATTCAGTAAACATTTACATGACAAATAGCTCCTAAGTAAGTACTATTCCTTTCAATGTTCCTAACAAGACTAAAAAATGAAAACAAGTGATGCAAGTTTAAATTAAGGATATAGTTTTTTCATAAGCCATTACATTTCCAGAGTCTTACCTGAAGTATTTCGTTGTCCCTCCTGTGCTTTTATACAATGAATCTCTTCAATGGTTTCCTTTAGAGAATCTCTCTCTGTCCTTAGCCGCTACAGATTAAAAGAAGATGGATATTTCACCATTCCAGTAGACAGTTCTGGATGGAGTTATGATACCATCTGAAGTTAGGCAAGCCTAACCACAGTACTAGTCTATGAGTAACTGGAATTTTAAACCATTCAACATTATCCAGGGAATTGAAGAGCAGAGAGGAAATGCAAGCATCTATCACATCACATTCCATTTAGAGTCGACAGATCAACAGTAGCAATTCCAGAAAGACATCAGAAAAGGAATCATATATGGCAAATGAACTGAAATAATACACTTCTGGAAGGGAGTGTGGCCATGTTACTTTGACGTTTTGGGTCAAGAGATGCATCTCTACAAGTCAGAAGGGGTTATACAAGTGATTTGCTCCAGGTCCCAATCAGCATACAAATCCATTAAACCATCCCTGACAGTAGCCATCCAACCTCCAGCGAGGGAAGCTCCCTGCTTAATAGCTCTTGCCATCAGTAAATTCCTCCTAATATTCAGCCTGAAAGACCTCTCTTATAATTTCAACATATTGGTTCTTGACTTTCCCTTGTTTTAACAAACACATTTCTGTCCCCATTGCAGGTAACAGCTTTCTAGATATTTGTAGACAGCTGTCATATCACCTTTAGTCTTTTGTCAGCTACACATTCCCAGATTTTTGGCTATTCCTCATATGGCTTGGTTTCCAGATCTCTTATCTTCCTGGGAACTCTCCTCTGAATTCACTCCAGTTTCTCCATGTCCTTTTTAAAGTGTGGACTAACCAGTGCAGAGTAAACTGTTACCTCCCATGAAGTGGATGCAGTGCTTATGTTAATGCCACCCAAGACTGTACTGGCATTTTTAGCTGTTTCATTACACTGTTTGCTCATGTTCAGATGGCATTCCACTAGTACGCCTAGATCTTTGTCACATGTACTTCTGCCAAA